AGGAACTGACGAGGGGGTGTGTCGGGGGAGGGGGGGCGGACCGTTGCAAAGGTGCGAACGCCGCGCGCTGTGCTCGCGCATGCGCGGTCCGGCCTGGCTACGGCTCTGGAAATCTCCGACCAGCGGCGCCAGGACGGGACCCAACACCTTGAGTGGAGCACCCACGGGGACCACTCGAAGAAGAAAATATAGTAACCAAACACCAGGTGGTGTGGTAGCCTTGTTCACTCCAGGATTTTTTAGAAGCTTCTGAGTTACACATAGCCTGCATGACCTGTGTAAGCTCGAAAGCTTGTCTCTTTCACCAACAGACATTGGTCTGATAAAAGATAACCCTTCCACCTCTTGTACCCAAGCCTTAACCCAAATCCATCCATCCTCCAACTCCCTTGTCCAAGTCAGAACCCCCTCCTGCATCCAAACTCCATCCCAAACCCACACCCCCTCCATTAATATAATAGAAAAGTGCAGCCTATGACCACTAACCAAAATTCTTGGAGTGGCACCCCTTTTAAAGATTGTTGCCCACCTCTGGTTTGTAGCAATCTGCTGTTCTTAGGGAAGCAGGTGTCTTGTTCTGCTGCCCTCTAGTGGCTGCCAGGAAAGTCTGACATAGGACAGTGGACCTCAGAGATAAAATTACAGTGAGGAAGAGGCACTCACTGGTCTATTCTATGCATACCGAGCTCTGTCCTGATAAGATGGAATTTAGCTTTGCTGTGGAAAGATGAAATCTCTGAGGTCTTACACATCTCCTGTCTTTAACAAGAGTCGCGCCTTTGGTTTTGTCCCTAATTTTGTAGAGCTACATTTTGTGAGACTGATGGGCTCCTGTGTCACAGCATTCAGGACCGGCTTTTAACAAAGGTGAAAGTAAGTTGGTGCACCCCAGTGCAGTGCACTGATAAGAGATTGGCTGGCTGGGGGAGGAATTCTGGATGTGCCCGCATCCTGCACAACGCAGCCATAACACACCCAGGCTCCAGCCCCAGTGCTCAGGCGGCTGGGCAGTATGGTCCCTGCCACCCTGGGAGTTCCAGTAGCTGGGCAGCACAGTGGCCACACTCCCAGCCCTGAACTCCCCAAACACTTCCCCAGTCCCTTGCCTTGAGCCCCTTCACACACACACACCCAAACTCCTGCCCTGAGCCCCCCACAGGGGGGTTGCAATATGACAGTACCTGTAAGAAATTTGTTACTTTCATCCCTGGCTTTTAAACCACAAGGCAAATATTTTCTAGGCAAAGATGCCACAACAGCTTTGGGCTTCTTAGCCTACGTATCATAACAACACAATATAGTTGCAGCACAGTCCTACAAAACACTGCATCTACGCATCTACAGCTATGTGCAGTGGCACTTCCTTTGCCTTGCATTATGTACCCCCATAGTACAAGAAAGTGCTCAGAGTGAGAATGTAGAGAAAAACTTACTATGGTGGGGAAAATAGTGAATTTCTAAACTTTTGCCCTGTGTCAAGCACACCGTGAACATAGTTTTGTGGGTTTAGTGATGCAATTGCCTGCCTCACAAAGATATACTGGGCCTCAGTCTCCACTCACTCCCCTCCCCACTTGAATAGGAGGAATAACTTCACTAAAACCAAGAGCTGGGCTCGTGTGAGTGAAAGAAGTTAGGCCCATCTCTTCGTTGTACCTGAAGTACCTCACGGGATCTTTTTCAGGGGGATAAGACAAAACACCACATTTATTGGGAATACATATTTCAATCACTATTTTATCATATGCACCTGATATATTACACTCATACTCTCTCACACACACAAACATACTTGGTCTTGTTGTTGTTACAACTAGCTGCTCCCCCTCACTTCACTAGCCAGGTGAGTTAGATGGGGAGGGATGGAGCCGGGCTTCTGCCGATTCAGATTGGTGTACCAATGTTGACCAGATGAAAACACAGGGTCCTCCTGCAAGATACCTTAGATTTATAGTAGCTCCCCTCTCATGCAAATCTATACCAGTTAGTCATCATATGCATATGCAAAATCTGTGAGAGTCATCATATGCATATGCAGTTAAGTCTTCTGTGGTACCTTCTTCTGGGTGTTGTCTTAACGCTGCCACATTCATCTTCAAAGAGGGTGCTTCCAAAAGCAGGCACTTGCTTTTCCCAAGGCCAACAATTGTCTTCGCATATTCATATGGCTAAAGTAAGACTTAATACAAGGTTATATGAACCTTTTCATATAACCTTATATTACGTCTTTCCAGATCCATATGGATAAAGCAAGAGATTTAACATATGAAGAAGTTTAATACAGAGATTTAGCCACATCTTAACATTCTAATTCCATGGTGAAGTGACCATAGCTCTGTGTGTTCTGTACGCATTTGAAACTGGCCATGGTACATTGGAGCAGAGTTTTGTTAAGTGATCTAGATATATCCCCAGATATCAGGCCTTGGGAGGACAGGGCAGTTCAGTTGCTCCAGGTGTGAAGAAGAGATTGCTTGACTCAGGTGGAACTGTTTGAGGAAGGGTGGCTAGCAGGGAAGAAATGACTGCTAATGAGAGATGGGGGGAGGAGGCGTAAAGGAATTTGGGAAGGGCAAACTTCTGGTTTAACCAGGCCCTAGTTAGGCTTGATCTATCTCTGGTTCATAGTTCCATCACAGCAGAAAATGCCCATTATATCCTGCTGCCCATGCCACCGAATTTCCAAGTAGTAGGATCCTGTTTCAATGGCCCATGGCTCACGGTCGCAGCAGGAGCTGGAGCTGTGAGCCCTTTAAATAGCCACAGCAACCCCATGCTCTGCTTTTTAATTCAAAGCCTCCGGCCCGAGACAGCTCTGGTGGGAGGCTCGTCCCCAGCCCTGCCCCTTCCGGGGTGGACCCAGCAGATGGCCATGCACCAAAATTAATTAAGTGCCCCATCCCCTGGGGAAAATTACTGCCCACCCCTGCATTAACAGAATCATTTTGTACTTCAACTCTGCTACCACTAGAGGTCAGGCAACATGTTCAGCATGAAAACAAAGGAAATTGCTCTCAGACAGGATTACAATGTTCAGCTGTCCCCCACAGTAAGTTGTCAACTACTGTTCAAAGACATAAAAGATGACTTTATGGACAAAGCTTATTTTCAAGGGCACTGCCACACAATGTTTCATTCATAATATAAAAATCATGCTTGTGTAACTGTATGAGCTTTTGCATGATTATTGCCTGAACAGAGACATTTAATATATATCCTCAAATGCTTCACAGTAGTCTGTTATTGGATACCATTTTAGCAATATTAAGCACCAAAAGAGGAATTTATCATAAAATGCAAGTAGCATCTATACATTATACAAGTATTTATACATTATAGTTTATTCTGAACCACCCAATGCCTCTTCTGCAATAAATTACAGTTATTAATGTTATTATAAGTTTAAAATAAAGTGCAGGTAGGACAGAATAAAACCGATTGCCCATACAATGCTGTAAATGCCTGCTAATTAATTATAAGTCCCTCGGTTCCCCTCTTTCACCTCCCTTCTCCCTTCCAAAAACCCATTTAAAATCTATACAAGCATCAATAAAAACAGAACCCATATAGCTTCTGTCATTATGAAGCTGGTACTAAACTTATTAGATGTGAGTGGTGCCAGTGAAGATACTGCAGGATGATCCACTCTGGTGCAGAAAGTGTTCTCTTCAGCACCACCCAACGTCACTGAGTTTTTTCCAAGATGCAGTACGTCGGAAGTAGCCGCACACGAGC